GAAAAAGGAAAAGAAAACAGAAGACCAAATGGTGGTGTTAGGGTCCTCAACACCAGCCACATTTCAAGGGCTCAGCAGCAGTGTCCCACACTGACCAGGCTCAGCTCACAGGGGCTCAGCGAGGCTGAAGCCCTGGTCTGAACCTTCTCAGCCATCGCTGTCAGGGCTGTGAACCTCTGCACAGACCCCGGAGCCCTTCCACTACCCCAGGCCTGCCCTGCCCAACTTCTCAATTCTGTCCAATTCTCTGCCCGGCTGAGTGCTCATTAACCCCTCCCTTGGTCTCCAGCCCAGGGCCTGGGCCTCACCCCAGCTCCTCCACGGGATCAATACTACAAATACAGAAGGAGGAGGCAAGTGGGTCTCTGTGGGTTCATTGTCAGCGTGGTCTGAAAGCCAGTTCTAAGTTAGCCACAGCCACACAGGAAGACAGTCATGATTCCATGAACCGCCCCCCACCAGCACAAAATAAAAATCAAGGAAGGCAGGGGGAGCGGTGGCCTCCATAGTCCTGCTTCCTGGCGTAGAAAGTGACCAGCTGCCCTGCAATCCTGTTCCCACAGGTCACTGTCCTATCCTCAGTTATGAGTCAAAATGAACCCTTCTGTAGCCACTGACAAGCATTTTGTCCCAGCAGTGGAAAGAGAAAGAAGCGCCCCCGCCCGTGCCCACTCCCTTCCCTCCCCCCACCATCACAAGCAAGGAGCCGCAAGAACCATGCAGCCTGACTTTCCCCACACAGCCGGGACCCTCTGGGGAAAGGGAGAGCAGCCCTGTCCGACCAGCATCTAAGGCAGATGAGCACTTGAGCAGAAAACCATTATTTAGAGGGAAGGAAGAAGAGGAATGGCTCAGGACTGGCGAGGTTCCGGCCAGTGTTCATCCAAGCAGATGGCAGAGGGAGCTGCAGCGTGAAGACCTGAGTTCAAACGCCAGCAGCCAGGTAAAACACTGGACGGGTGCACACACCTGGAATCCAAGCTCAGAAACACACAGCAGGATTCTGCGGCCTGTGCAGACCCAGCAGTGAATGCTAAGGAGACCCTACCTCAGGAAACAGTGGAAAACTGATTGATGGCAACAACTGACCTGGACCTTGGTCACACACACACACACACACACACACACACACACACACACACACACACTATCCCAAGGCTACAGTTCTCCATCAACTGACATCCATGTTACCATGGTACAGTGACTGGCAGCCAGAGGCCGGTGGTGACCAATACTCAGGCTTATCTTCTTCAGACAAGTGCCAAAAGTGCCAAGGCCGCAGACTCTCGGCAATTGCAGAGCTGAGCCCGGTGACATGAAGACCTTTGGGAGTATTTCAGAGTGGGCCAGGCTGGCAGGCTGGCACCTTGCTGGCTCAGTCCCGGCTTGCCCAACCCCCAACAGCCAGCCACTGTGGCATTAACATGCCTATATCAACTCTGTCCATTTTAATCTGATCCTAGTCACCCCAGATACAGATGGTAATGGCAGACCATGAACTGACTGCACCCAAGTCCAGCTCAGGGGTCTGTTGAGTTACTTTTAGTCCATTTCCTGTCACTCCAAATAGAACAACCACAGAACAAAGAGGCGATTCTACCAATGTCCAAGTCACTTACTAGAGTATGGGTCCATTTTGGTAATTCTGCTACCCAAAAGCAATGCCAGCATGGACACGGTAACACTCATGAAGGACACACCCCTGGACCCCGCACAACCTGCGATGCTCCGCCGAGGAGTCTTCTCTCGAGGATGCCAGAACTGTGTGCTGCTTGGATGACCTCACTAGCAGCCTCCTGAGTCCTGGAGGTTTACTGAGCCTGCAAGAGGTAACGTTTCAGTCCAAAGGTGATAGCCGAGTGGAGGAGTCACAAGACCTCTGAGCTCGGTCCAGGGATGAACAAACCCAAAAGGCAGAGAGCAGAACACTGCGATTGCCTAGGGCAGGCCTGTCGACAAAGTCCTGAATTCCCTGGGGTCCCCACAGCGCACTCCCAGCCCCTCCTCATCCTGCTCTCCCCACTTGGTGTGCATTCTCATCAGCAGCTACCTCGAAGGCCATAGCTCTGCTCAGACTCTCCACCTGCCCAGCTTGATCTCTCTGATGAGTCTAAGAACTAAGGGGATGGCTCGGTCAGAATAGCACTTGCCATATAAGCATAGGGAGCCAAGCTCACTTCCCAGAAATCAGGTTGAAAAAATAAAGTATGCTGTGCATGCTTGTAATCCCAGCCCTGGGGGGGCAGAAACAGGAGGATCCCAGCCAGCCTATGCGGATTGGTGTGTTCCAGGCCAATGAGAACACTCCCCTTAAAAAAAAAAAGCCACATGTGGAGAAACATTCTTGGATTCTTGGCTGCCCTCAATTCTTCACCTCATGTGTACAGGTATACACGCACACACATATGCTTGCACCTACATGTACCCATATATACACAAAAAGACTCAGACTCAGTCTGCAGAGGGCTGGTCTGATGCTTGTATTTTGATGCTAATTACTGGTCCTCAAGATCCCATGATGGCCCTGTTCTTGTTGTGTAAACCTGCCTAAGACCTGGGCACAGCAGAATGGGGTAGGTGTGGCCACTGTCGGAGGGCTTTGGGTACAGGAGAATGAAGGGAAGGACAGACAGAGGAAGACAAGAGAGAGGAGGACTCCATGATGGGTTAGCGTGGAGAAGGAACCACACGGGCTGGAAGGAATCACGTGGGCTGGGAGAAAGGACTCCAATAATGGTGTGGAAAGGCCCAAATGAAGAATACAAGCAAGTATTTATAAGATTATGGATGGAAGGTGACCCAGATAATGATGGGTAAGGCTGATGGCATTGGATGGGGGCTGGGAGGGGGGTGGTGAGGTTATTGAGATGGCATAGGTGGAACTATCTGCCCAAGCCAAAGTGTTATAAAATCCAACAGGCATCTGTGTGCTATTGATTGTGATAGCAGGTTAAATAATGCCACTGAGGGCTGGAGCAATCTCAGAGGTTAAGAGCACTGACTGTTCTTCCAAAGGTCCTGAGTTCAATTCCCAGCCACCACACGGTGGCTCATAACCATCTATAATGACATCTGATGCCTTCTCCTGGCATGTAGGCAGAATACTGTATAAATAATAAATAAAATAAATCTTTAAAAAATAATACTACCAAAATAATTATAGAGCTAATAATAAAAATATTTAGCCCAATACCATTTTATTGACAACAGCCATCAAAGGGGACCCTTGGAGCTGGGCATAGACATCTGCCCGTGATCTTGGAGAGTCCAAAGCATAAAGAGCTCAAATTCCAGGCCAGCCTGAGGTCACATAGTATGACCTCAGCTCAGAGAAGCCAAAAAACCAAAAAGTGGTAACATTCAGTTCCCCAGGACCCTAACCACATTTCCTGTAGACAGCAGCCACTCAGGCTACTGTCTCAGGACAGAGTCTGGCAGAAGACCTCAGAAAGCAGTGGGGTTGATTAACAGCCTAGAGGTCCCGGAATGCATAGCCAGCCTGGGAGAGCCCTCCCGTCCCCTGTGACAGACAAGGCCACCACTGGTCCCGCCCCCTTCCCAGCAAGAAAGTCCCCTTCCCTATCCAGTCTTCATCCCCATGATAGCCCCAAGGGGTCAATGTCTGATGTCAGCCCAAGACACAGCCCATCGTCTCCATGGGCTCAGCATCCTGCAGACATGGTAAGACACGCCTTATCCCAACCCAGGTCCATCACTGGGTACTGGATTCAAGGGGGATCTGAGGCCACTGCAGAGAAGGACTATCTTCCATCTCCACCTTCACACACGTACACAGGGGCCTTCCATGCAATACTGATATTGGGTATGTATCCTCAGGGACAGCCAGGTCACCTAAAGTGCTATACCCAGGGTGATATTACTCTTGTCAACTTGACGGAGTTTAGAATCACCATGGAAACAATGCTCTGGGCATGCCTGTGCGGGGTTTTCTATAGTGACTTCACTGAGGTGGGGAGACCCACCCTGAATGTGCCTGCCACCAACCCATGAGCTGGGGTTCCGGAATGACAGAAAGGAGAAAGTGAGCTGAGCACCAGCATCCATCTCTCTGCTTCCTGACCGGGGATGCCACGTGACCAGCCGCCTAACCCTCCTGCCCGCCATGCCTTCCTTGACTTGACAGTCTATCCCTGGGTAACTCTGAGCCACAGGCTACCCTCCCTTCTTTAAATTGTTTTGCCAAGTATTCTGTCACAGCAGAGAGAAAAGTAAACAGAGGCACCCGGGTTCGCAGGAACTGCCCATCCTGCCCCTCCACACACCACTCTCCACCCTTCCGTACCACTCGAAGCTCACAACTTTCCGGGACAGGAGTTGTAGGCTCCCCAGCCCAGCCAAGCCTTTCAGCCAGCAAGCAATTTTGCAAACCACATTTATTTAGAGGGCAGCCTGGTGTGAAAAAGAGCCGTGGGTTGGAGTTCAAGACTCTCGCATTCCCAGGGTCACAGAGCTCACCAAGGCAGTCTGTGGGATACGGTTCCTGGTCCCATGTGATCAATAACTAGATGGTTTTCTAGGACAATCCTTCTCTGTAACTTTCAGCGACAATGAAAGCCTTAGGGAGGTGTCAAAATGAGTCAGGAAAAAAAGCCCCAGAGCTGCCAGCCACCAGCCAGGCTCTGTCCTTGCTCATTCAATCCCCCAATAGTCAGTGATCCTGGCAGAACCATCTTGGGGGTCACAGGATGTGCTGAAGTCAATCCAAGAACAAAGAGACCCCAAAAGGACAGATGGTGCCTACTCTCCTGATTGTTATAGGTTAGTTGTTCTCAACCTGTGGGTCGAGACCTCTTTGCTAACCCTCTATCTCCAAAAATATTTATATTACAGTTCACAACAGCAGCAAAATTAAGATAATGATGTAGCAACAAAAATGGTCTTATGTTTGGGAGTCAGCACACGGTGAGGAACTGTATTAAAGAGTAGCAGCGTAAGAAGAACCACTGCTGTCAACGATGCCGGAGCTGGTGGCGGAGTACCTGGCTGAGTGATGAGGGTCTGAGGGTCCGTGAGGAGTGGGCAGCTGCAGAAGAGCAGGGGTCCTCTGGAGCAGCAGTCCGGAGCTGGCCCAGCCAATGTTGAGTGCATCTTTCCCGTCTGCACGGAGGGTATCAGCTGGTTGGAGAATTCTTGCAGGAGGTCATGCGTTACCCAGGACACACATTCCGTCACCAACAGGCCAGCCAGCAGGCACAAGGCCCCACCCCATCCTCCTCTTGACTTTAGTGCTCTCTTCCTCCACACACTTCACGCAGTTGCTCCTGACCCTGCAGAGAAGCAAACCCGGGTCAGCTGCACTGAGACCCATGACCATGAAGACCTGAGAAGCCCACCAAGACTCCAGAAGGCGCAGCAGGGAGTCATTCGCTTTGCGCTGAGTCTGGTGAGCAGGACTTCCACAGACTCTTCAGACAGTTGTCGCTCTGCTGATATCACTGCCGGAAAAGCCCATCACCTACCTGCCAGTTGGGCAGAAGGCAGCTCTGTGTGGCATACAGCCAACCCTTCGTGATCGGAAGGATGCCCACTGCCTGCCGCCACTGGGAAGCTACGGTGCAGCTTGTGCAGAGCTACAGGAGCCAGTCCGAGCCGCTGCTGCCGCCAGGAAGATTCTCCAGATAGCGCAACAAAATGTGTAAGTGTACAAGGCAAAGTGTGCACCCTCAGAACTTCCTTCCTGCCATGCAGGCAGATCTCTGTAAGTTCAAGGCCAGCCTGGTCTACAGAGTAAGTTCCCGGACAGCCAGGGCTACACATGGAAACCCTGTCTTGAAAAACCCAGAGTAGGGTGGGGGGCTTCCTTCCTCCTTCCTGTCAGCAGGGTTTCTATGTTGGCAGAGGCCAGAGTTTCATTTCTCTTGCCGGCCACCACCAAAACAACTTTTTTCTGTCATTTCTGAATCCAAGCCGACAAAGACTTTCTAAGGTCCATGAGCAAGAGTCACCCTCAGGTATCAAGAAATGGCTCTTTGGGCCTGGGATGTGGCTCAGTGGGTAGAGCACTTCCCCAGCATGGACCTAAAGCTCTGACCGTATCCCAGCAGTGCCCAACCCTGTGGAGCCAGCATCCAGGAGATGAAGCTGAGGGATCGGGAGTTTAAAGTCATCCTCAGATACATAGAGTAGGGCTGCCCACCCAGGCTACATAAGACACGGTCCCAGGAAAGAAAAAGGGGGGGGAGCTATGGGTGAGGACCCAGGCAGGCAGGTAGACCTGTTTCTCACAGCGAACTCGGACCACGAATAGCCAGAAATAATCACTCCAGAGGCCTCCAGGTGCTCACATGCGGGTGAAAAGTTGGGGTTGGAACATTGCAGCCAGGTTCAGGACTTAAGACAGGGTCAGCGCACCCTCATTCCCCATCCTCACGGGCTTCAGTAGAAATAAAACACAGGACCAGGCAGTGGTGGTGACACACACATTTAATCGAGGCACTCGGGAGGCAGAGGCAGGTGAATCTCTGAGTTCGAGGTCAGCCTGGTCTACAAAGTGAGTTCCAGGATAGCCAAGGCTACACAGAGAAGCCCTGTCTCAAAGAAAGAAAGAGAGAGAGAGAGAGAGAGAGAGAGAGAGAGAGAGAGAGAGAGAAAGAGAAAAGAAAAGAATAAAAGAAATTCTGCGCCCAGCAGCACTGGCTCTATGGCTAATACTGCCCTTGCTGGGCTCCAGTCCAGCCCTCAGCACCCACTTCTGGGGATTGGCAGCCACCTGTAGCTCCAGCTCCAGGGCACCTGTCCCCCGCTTCTGGCCGGCATGGGTGCTGCACTTACATGTACGTACCAGTCTGTGGGTGTGCACGCACGCACAATTAAAAACCAATCTTTACATTGTATTCACTTACTGACCTACTGGGGCGCATGTGCAGATCTGAGGGAGTCTCATGGAAGCCTCTCTCCCTCCACCATGCGAATCCCAAGGGCTGAACTCAGGCAGCAGCTTGCAGGGAGCACCTTTACCTGCTGAGTCATCTCACTGGCACAAGGTTTTCTCTTTCTTTTCTTTTTTGTTTTTGTTTCTGTTTTTTGAGACAGAGTTTCTTCTGTGGCCCTGGCTGTCCCGGAAGGAACTTGCTCGGTAGACCGGGCTGGCCTCGAACCCTCAGAGATCCGCCTGCCTCTGCCCCCCCCCCCCCCCCGAAGTGCTGGGATGTGCACCACTGCACCCAGCTGAGATCTGTATTTCCCTGCTGGCCTAGAACACAGTCTGTAGCTGAAGGTAATTGTAAACTGCTCCTCCTGCTTCCTCCTCGAGCGCTGGGATTTCAGGCAAACACTGCCACACGGGTTGACGTGACGCTGGGGAGGACCTCGTGCGTGCCAGGAAAGCACCCTACCAACTCAGCTGCCTCGCCAGGCCCTGGCCAGGGCAGACTCCTGGCTCACCCCAGCCACTCACTCTGCCACCACCACGCACCGCTGTCTCACCAGCCCTGTGACTGACTACCTTTCCATCACTTTCTCCTTAGTCACAAAAAGATCACAGTGTCCCACGATATGGGACTTTGAAAACTCTGTGAACTGAGCTGCTCGAGATCAAAGCTGGGAAACTCGGTATCCGTCCCTCGTCCTGCCAGCATGACTGAGGGTCAGGAAATTCTATCTCCACTCTCTTCTCTCTGGCAGGATGACAGGGCAACCACTTCCCAGTTTGAGACAGAAGTAGAGAGGGGAGTTGGACAATGCTCTGTGACCACGCACAGGGAGAGATGGGGAAGAGCGGGAGGGAGGGAGCTTGTGGAAAAAGCACGGGCACATGCCAGCCCATGCACATGCCACCACACGCTGCTCAGAGGCCCACACACCGGAGAGTCCAGGCACACAGCCTGTGTGCTGACCCCGACCCCACCAGCCTAGGAAAGCTCCAGGAAAGAGTTACCACATTCTTCCCGCCGAGCCACCTTCTGTCCTGGGAGCCCAGAGCCTCGAGTCAGTGAGGGCGTGGAGGGGTCTTCTTGGGGGCAGGGAGGCTGTATGGGGATGGTTGAGCCCACTAAGCCACTCTGGTCCAGCACTGGCCTTCACCTCAAGTCTTCCACAGATATAAACCCTAAAGCCAGGAAAGCTACTGTTCACCTAAAATTACTCCTCCCCAGCGGCAGGGCTTTACTTTTTAATTGATTTGAGTTAGGGTCTGACCATCAAGCTCTGGCTGTCCTGGAACTCCCTACGTAGAGAAGGCTGGCTCAGACTCACAGAGACGCACTTGCCACTGCCTCCAAAGTGAGTTTTGAGATAGGGCACTGCCTGGCCCAGGCTTCCTCTATGTAGACCAGGCTGGCTTCAAACTGCAGAGATTAAAATCATGCACCACCACATTGAGCTCAGCTTCTTTAGGGAAAAAAACGCTTTTAATTGGGGGCCAGAGAGATGGCTCAGTGGTTAACAGCACTAGTTGCTCTTCCAGAGGACCCAGGTTCAATTCCCCGCACCCACATAGCAGCTCACAAGAATCTGTAATTCCAGTTCCAGGAGATCTGAAACCCTCACACAGACATTAATGCAGACAAAACACTAATGCACATAAAATGAAATTAAATCAAATCTTAAATTTGTACTATAAGTGTGTGTGTGTGTGTGTGTGTGTACGCACGTATGTGCATGTGCAAAGCAAATATGTATGTCCAGAACAACTTCCAGGAGTTAGTTTTTCCTTGTACCATGTGAGTTTTGGAACTTCCGCTCAGGTCGTCAGGTGTTGGGGGAAGCACCCTTATTTACTGAGCCATCTTGCTTCCTGACACACACACACACACACACACACACACACACACACACACACACCCAGCGCCTCAAGACAGGGTCTCGTGAGCTAGGCTAACTTGGAACTCTCTGTGTAGCCAAAAAACCCTCGACCTCCTGCCCCCGCTACAGAATTCTGGAATCACGAGTGTAGACCTCAAGTGTGGCAGGCAAGTGCTCGCCCAACTGAGCCACAGCAGATCCCTATGCGTTTGAGGCCAGCCTGGTCTACAAAGAGAGTCCAGGACAGCCAAGGCTACACAGAGAAACCCTGTCTCAAACAACAACAACAAAACAGATCACCTCAAGGGGGGTCATGGTAATTTTTTTTTTTCTGGAGCCAAATATGAATGATAATGGCCCAGGGACAAAGATCCTTAAGAAATTTTTGTCATAACAGAACAAAGAAAGTCACAAATCAAAACGCCTTCCAAATGCCATGGTGGGAGGTGTCAAGATGGCTCGGAGGGTAAGGTTCTTCCTGCCACAACTGACAGCATGACTTCAAACCCTAGAAAACATGTGACAGGAAGAGAGGCCTGAGTCCTCTGCTCTCTACACACATTCGTGCTCCACAGAGAGAACAATAAATAAATGAAGAGAACACATGTTCTATTTGCTTGTTTGGTTGTTTGGTTTTTTGAGACAGGGTTTCTCTGTGCAGCCTTGGCTACACTACTCACTCTGTAGACCAGGCTGGCCTTGAACTCAGAGACCTGCCTGCCTCTGCCTCCTGAGTGCTGGGATTAAAGGTGTGCGCCACCTCTGCCAGCTTTACAATTTAATTTTTTAAAAAATACATTAGTGCGCATACCAGTAGGCAAGTTAAAGCAAAGCGAGGATATCTCTGCTCCAGGCCTCTGGGGACATTCTTCTTTGGGTTGGTAGAAGGTAGGAGTCTGTTTACATATTCCTAGAGGTTTCATGTGACAGTCACAAGGATGTTAGGTCACTTGCAGAAATGGGCAATAAATTCGGGCTAAGATTCCAGATCTGCAGCATTCCAACTATCTGAAAGCACCGAATTTCTAACTCGTCAATCCGCCTTGTGGAGTGTTCAATGTGGGTTATGGCTATTTCTGAGAATTTTCATTAAAACACTGAAATCTGGGTTTCCCCACACACATTTGTAATTCCACATCCATTACCAAAAGCACCAAATAGATAAATAAGTAGATAAACAAACAAATACAGGGCAGGGTGTTTCAGAGAAATGCACTCGCCCTAGCATGGATGAATCCACAGGTTCTATCCCCAACACCACCAACAGATGGCCATGACCGTCCTAGCTGTGCTGCTCAGTGTGTGTGAGGCCCTTGACAGACCGCTCCCCGGATCTTAGACACGCCCGGCAGTGCAAGCCTACAGCTTACTCTAGAACACCACGGGTAGTGGGCAGGGCCTTGGACACGTACAGCGACCCCACCATCCTGGAGTTCTGGGGGTCTCTCCAGGGAGGGTCACAGAGGTGTCCAGCTCAGTGGACATCAACTTCTCTTCACATGGAGACACCCACATGAAGGGAGTCACCCGTAACTCCAAATCCGTGCTCAGCTCTCAGTTCTCATTTCTGCAGCATTTTAATGCTTTTTACATTTATTCATCTTGTGTGTGAGAGAGAGAGAGAGAATAGATGGAGGGGTGTAAATGAAGGACAAGCTGCAGGGCTCCGTTCTCTCCTTTCGCCCCAGGAGGCCAGGAGCTCAAGGCTGTGAGGCCTGGCAGCAAGTGCCTTTACCCACTGAGCAGTCTCCGTGACCCTCAGCAGCTCCCAGTTTATTACCTCTTTGGCAACGTAAGGCCAGATTTGCCTCTGGATTTTCTAAACTGCAATGGGTGTGTGTGTGTGTGTGTGTGTGTCCTCCCTGCCTTTACTTGTTTTCTTCATCACTCCGGTTTCCCCTGCCCCAGTCAGTACAGGTTAGCCTCAGACTTGTTAAATAGCCCAAGATAACACTGGATTATTTACTTACTTATTTTGTTTTTTGAGACAGGGTTTCTCTGTGTTGCCTTGGCTGTCCTGGAAGTAGACCAGGCTGGCCTTGAACTCATGGAGATCTGCCTGCTTCTCCCCCACAAATCCATGTATCAAAGGTGGGCGCCACCACAGCCAAGCTAACGCTGACCTTCTGATCCTCTTGAAGGTGGTGCCAGGGATGGACCCCAGGGCTTCACTCTGCTAGGCAAGCTCTCTATCGTCCAGTTCCACAAAACTCCCCTTTTGAATGTCCCATGGAGTGCTAAGACCTGGACCCTAAGCCCCTCTTCACTCCCTCTTCCTACTCGGCACAGCCAACTGCCACCTCTGCTGTACACTCTGGACCCAGCAGGCACCAAGTCCAGAGTTCAGTGCCCAGAGCCAAATAAAGCAGGCAAGGTGTGATCTTAACATTTGGAAGGCAGAGGCAGGAAGATGAGAAGTTTAGGGACATCCTGGGCTACACAGAAACGTTAAGACCAGCTTGAGCTACATGAAATTACTGGGATCTAACAAACCAGACTTAGTCTGAGTACTGCCATTTTGTTTTCGGACTCATTTTGATCTTAAGTTGAAATTAAGTTCAGGTTCCAAGGTTCTAAGGGTTTGCTGAGGGCTTTCCAGATTGTTAGCCAACTTCCTCCTCATTCTTCTTTGGTCCCCCAAAACATAATGATTGTTCCGAACCATGAGGGAACAAATGATTCCGTTCAATGGGAAACTGTGAGTGTCACTTGGCATGGCTCTTCGTGGGTTTGAGGTTAAAAACTCTGTAACCTCTGGCTGGGGTGTCAGATCAGCTTCCGAGTCTCCGAGTACAACTAATGTTTGTCACGCGCTTAAACACTAGGATGAACATGCAAAGACAAGTCAGCTCCCCAGTCTGTGCTGCTGTCTCTGACCCTAATTCAAATAAGGACCACGGAGATCCGCCTGCCTCTGCCTCCCCAAGGGCTGGGATTTGCGTGGACTCTTGTGTCTGCTCGGGTTGTTTTCGATTTTCAGACCCTAGCAAAACCATAAAAAGTTAAAAATTGGAACCAGTGAGGTGGCTCAGCAGATAAAGGTTCTTGCTGCCGAGGCTGAGAATCTGACTCCCGTGCCTGGAACTCACAAGGTAGGTCAGACTCCAAAACGTGGGTCTCTGGTAACTACACATGATCCCCAGATAAAGACATGATTTGTTTCTTTTTCCTGTTCGTTCGTTCGTTCGTTTGTTTGAAAATACTGTAGCCGGGAGCAGTGGCTCAGGGATTTAATCCCAGTACCTGGGAGGCAGAGGCAGGAAGATCTTGTTGAGCTCCGGGTCAGCCTGGTCTACATAAGGAGTTCCAAATCACCCAGGGCTGCATAGCAAGACCTTGTCCCAAAAACAAAGACAAGCAAGAAACAGAGAAAACTAACCGGAAAACACTTTTTTTTTACGTGTTTGTGGAAACAAAGTCCCCCTGGGAGAGTCTGAGCTCTTCCCAGGCAGGAGGACTAGAGCCTTGCGCTCATTGGCTCCTCGCAGGGGGCGAGCTGGCATCCTCTTGCTTTGATTGGCTGTTTTCTCTCACGGAAACCCAATCTTCGCGGTGCTGGAGGCGGGACCAGACTCTTCGTCTGCCCGGAGTAGGGGGATCTGCGCCCCGAGTTCTGAGCCTTCACCTTCTTGGCGACCCCTGCGGTGAGAAAGACCCCCGATCCTCGCCCAGGGGTGATGGGCAGACGCGCAGTCCCTGCTCCCTGCGCGGGAGCAACCCCTCCCCCTACAGGCAGCCCCATAGTGTAGAAGTCAGCTCCCATCTCCCTCCCACTCAGGGTCGTGTGACTTGGGACGGCTTGGAGCGCTGATGACCTCCTCCGCTGGGTAACGGGGGATGGGAGAGTGCGGCGGACCTCGTCACAGGGTGACCCCTGTTCCCACAGGAGGATGACTAGGGAGGAGGCTGGGAGGCTGTCCCAAGTCCTGGCCCGGGTCGGGGCCTCTCACGGTATCACTGACCTGGCCTGCAAGCTCCGCTTCTATGACGACTGGGCTCCGGAGTACGACCAGGTGAAAGCCACGTGGGTCCTCGATTTCTGTGGCCCAGATTGTGTTTTTTTTGTGCAAAGCGAGAATACAGTACACAGGTGTCCCGGGGAAGCTGGGAGCTGAAAGAGACCTGGGCGAGAACTTTTCAGACGCGCTGCTTGCCACCTGCCCCCTAGTGGCCTGTAACCCCCCCCCCCCCCGCCCCCGTTTGAGCCTTAATTAATACTGCAGCCAGACAGGGAGACTACCTGCAGGAGGCGCCATTAAGACATCGCTCGATATAGTTAGAGCTGCCTCAGCTAGGAGCCAGTTCCTGCCTGCCAGCTTGAGCCCCGCTGCGCTGGGGTCCCTTGACAGTAAAAGATACCTCAAGCCTGAGTCTTATTTCACTGGGGTCCCAGAAGAAGCCAAACCTTAGCACACATCAGCCCAAACTGGCAGGTTCTTAGGCACCCGTCAAAGTGAGTCCTCCAAACGCTATGTAAGGCTAAGTGCTCTTTCCCCAGGATGTGGCTGCTTTGAAGTACCGAGCCCCCCGCCTTGCTGTGGATTGTCTCAGTCGAGCCCTTCTGAGGCCACCCCATGATACCCTGATCCTGGATGTGGCCTGTGGCACTGGCCTGGTGGCTGTGGAGGTAAGACCTTCTGATATGATGTCCTGCCTTCCCTTCCGTACCCAGGACTTCCAGCATGCTACAGTAGCTGGATCAGCCCTCAGCCCCTGGCTAGTGAGCTCACCCGTACCCTAGCCCCTCACTGGGGGATTCTAGGCAGGTGCTCCACCACTGAGCCACACCCCTAGCCCCTCACTGAGGGAATCTAGGCAGGTGCTCCACCACTGAGCTACACCTCTAGCCCCTCACTGGGAGATTCTAGGCAGGTGCTCCACCACTGAGCCATACCCCAGCCCCTCACTGGGGAATTCTAGGCAGGTGCTGCCTTTCCTTGACCAAGAACTCAGCCTCTATCTCTGGCTCATTGGGCCCAAGGTACAAGGAAGGACCCAGCTGAGCAGTGGCAGGGGATGAGCCCTGACTGATGCCCTCTTCTTTCTCAGCTGCAGGCACGGGGCTTCCTCCAGGTGCAGGGGGTGGATGGAAGCCCAGAAATGCTAAAGCAGGCCCAGGCACGTGGCCTGTACCGCCACCTCAGCCTCTGCACCCTGGGCCAGGAGCCGCTGCCCAACCCTGAAGGTACTTCATGGTCCACTCCACCCTAACCTACTTCCCAAGAATAGCAGCCCCTGCTGTGCAGCTGCCACCTTCACTCTGGAGTCCCGTGCGAGCCCTCTCACTGTGCCCCCTCCTCCAATCTGAAGTCATCTCATGTACGAGGTTGAGGTTGGGGTCCTACGGGTGTATATAAACACCCCAGGGCATAGATGATCTTTGTTTCTGGGGGTTTTGTGTGCGTTTTCTGAGACATCTGGGTTTCTCTGTGCAGCCTGCTGTCCTAGAACTTGCTCTGTAGACCAAGGCTGGCCCTGAGCACAGAGATCTACCTGCCTCTGCCTCCTGGGTGCCGGGATTAAAGGCGTAGGCCACACACACACACACACACCCAGGTGGGACATCTGCTATTAGTTTTTTCATAGCAGTCCAGAGGCAGGCTGGCCTTGCTGAGTTTGAGGCCAGGCTGGTCTTTCAGAGGGAGTTCCGGGACAGCCAGAGCTACACAGAGAAAACAGCAACAAAAGTAAAGAGGAAGCTTGGCAGAAGGAATAAGGAGCAAAAAGGATCAAACTGTGGATTCAGCAGTGACTTAAGAGGATTGGGGAAATGGCTCTGTGGTGGATAGCATGGAGGGCTCCTGCTGAGGACCTGAGCTTGGACCCCAGCACTGATTGGGTGATTCACAGCCTCCCTCTAACAACATTCCTGGGAAGATAAGGTGCCCTGGCCTCGGGAGCACCTGCACCCCGCAGAGACACACACATGCATACACATAATTTCAAATAGTAACAATCTTTTTTTAAAAAAGTTAATTGGACTAGGGAGGTGGCTCAGGAGTTAAGATCTCATTATGCTTTTTCAGAGCACTCAAGTTTTCTGTTCCCAGCACCCACATCAGGCAACTCACAATGGCCTGTAACCCCAACTCCAAGGGATCCAGTGCCCTCTTCTGGATTCCAAGGGCATTACAGACATGTGCACATCCACACATAGATGCATTAAAAATAAAGTGAGCCGGAGATAGTTAAGGACACTTGATTTTGCAGAGGACCTGAGTTCAGGTGCCAGTACTCACAAGCAGCTCTCAACCTTCTCTAACTCCGGTTCTAGGGGGGCTGTGTGATGCCCTCTTCTGACCTTTTTGGGTACCATATGCCCAAACGTGGTGTACAAACATATGCACATGTAAAACAAAAAATAAATTTTAATTAATAAATGAAAGAGAGATGGCTCAGTGGTAAAGAGCACCGGCTGCTCTTCCGAAGGACCTGGGTTCAAATCCCAGCACCCACATGGCAGTTCACAACTGTCTGTTAACTCCAGCTCCAGGGAATCTGACACCTTCACACATGCAGGTAAAACACAAATGTAAATAAAATAAAATAGTTAAAGATAAACAAAGTCATTAAAAGTGACTTAAGGGAAGAAGGGTCTTATTCTGGTTCACAGTCCATCCTGGGGGGAGGAGTCATGGCAGCTGGAGCACAGGGCAGCTAAAGGCAGGGAGCGGGAAGATGGATGCTGGTGCCAGCTTGCTTCCCCTTTTTCTTCAGTCCAGGACCCCAGCCATGGGACAGTACTACCCACAGTTAGGGCAGGTCTGCCCTCCCAAATTAACTCAGTCTAGAAAGCCCCTTGCAGACAAGCCCAGGGATCTCTCTCCCGGACGCTGTCAGCCTGACGATCAACGGTAACTCACACATCTCCATCCCATGCCACGCACAGGGACCTTTGACGCCGTGATCATTGTGGGTGCCCTCAGTGAGGGCCAGGTGCCCTGCCGTGCCATTCCTGAGCTCCTGAGAGTCACCAAGCCCGGTGAGTCACAGCGCAGCCAACCCCTCTCTCCACAGCACACAGACCCAGGGATCACTCTGGCCCAGGAAGGATAGGGTATTGCGTAGGGATACCAGCCCAGCCCAGCTTCCCAGCTCACCATCTGCCAGTTCAGTGCTCCTCCCTGGCTGCCACCAACAGAGGTGGGCACGTGACAAGGGTAAACAGATGGATCACCTGCAACTAGGAACAGCTCCACCCTTCTGGTCTTGTTCCCTTTATTACAACCAAATGGCATTGTCCCTAGGATCCCTTCCCATCAGACTGCAGTGATAATTGAGTACAGTCATGGCCCTGAGGCCTTTGCTTCTTCATTCCTGGCCACCATAGAGGTCAGCTCAACTCCACTCCCTTACCTGAAACTTATAGTCTTCTTTTGGTGGCGTAGTGGCATAGATCAAGATGACAATGGGAACGACTTGGATCAAGTCCACACATTGAGGAATGGAGCAGGCTAGTTCCCCCCACACACACGTGATGCTGGAGATGGAACTCGGCACCTCAGGCAGGCTATGTACCACAAAACCACTCACTGGGCAATTCTAGGAAGAAGCTCTACTTCTGAGCCACACTCCCAGCCCCTCACTGGGATATTCTAGGCAGGTGCTCTACCACTGAGCCACACTCCCAGCCCCTCACCCCTCACGGTATTCCAGAGAAGACAGTGAGGGCTCAGTAGTCTCAGATGAAGTTGCATTTTCAGAGGTTGGGGGCAGGGTGTTCACAGAAGATGGGGTAGGGAGTTGCGTGGAAGAAGTTACACTCTCAGGAGAAGAATAGAAAGATCCAGAAGAGGGTCTACCTCTCCTGACCCGAGGACAGAATGAGGAAACTGGAAGATAAAAATACTTCCTCTCCCAAGCCACACTCCTAGAGCTAAGCCTAAGCTTGTCTGGGCAGGATTCTGTTTCAGAAAGGCCAACAGAGTTAGGACATCTCTAAGGTCATCAGTAGTGGCATGGGTTGGGCACAGAAGCACCAGAAATGCCTATTGCATGACCCTGAACAAAACAGGCTCTCCTGTTCCAGGCTGAGCCCCCAACTTTCCTCAGCCCATCTGCCAGAAACCGACATACTGGCTCCCGTGCAGCCCCTTGGACAAAGTCCATCATCCCAGCCAGGGCTGCTTGATTCAGCCACGCCTTATTTTATTTTTCAGACAAGGTCTCACTATGGAGCCCTGGTTGGCCCTAAATGAACAGAGATCTACCTACCTCTGCCTCCTGAGTGCTAGTTCTGTGTTGGGATGGAGAGACAGCTCCCGGTTAAGATTACTTGCTACCCGTGCAGAGGACCTAGATTCAATTCCTATCACCTACTGGCATCTTACAACTGTATGTAACTTGAGTTCCAGGGAATCGATACCCTTTTCAGGTGCCCACCTGCATCACACTCATGCATGGCACACAGCCATACAGGCAGGCAAACACTCATGCACATAAAATAAAAATGCAGATGTTTTGGGTCATCATTCTCAGCTTTTTTTTTCCTTTCCTTTTCTTTCTTTCTTTCTTTTTTTCTTTGTTTCTTTCTGTTTCTTTCTTTCTTTTTTAAGAAAATGAGGGGCCTGGCCACCAATCTCCAATAGACCAATAAAAATCAAGTTTCCAGGGCCGGTAGTAACACACTCTTTTAATCCCAGCACTCAGGAGGCAAAGGCAAGTAGAAACCCTGAGTGCTACATGTAGAAATCCTGTCTCAGAAAATAAATACATAAGTAACCAAGTAATAGTAAGAAGCAGCAAAAGGTTTATTCACTGAGGCCTCTTGACACAAGTGTTTCTTCAGTGTATCTTTATTCCTATCAGGATGATTACAGGGTGATGCTACATAGCCCAGGCTAGCCTGAAAATCACTGTGTAGCCAAATTGTGAGCTTCTGGACTAAAGAGCTTGCTCATAGGTAAGAGGAACTGATTCCCAGCACCCACACACTGGCTCACAACCTTCTATAACTAGTATCCAGAGACCCGACACCCTGGCCTGGCCTCCAAAGGCAGTGCACATGTGTGGGGCATACACACAGGCAAGACACCCATAAACATAACAGTGCTTTTCCTTTTTTTGAGACAGTGTTTCTCTGTGTAGCCTTAGCTGTCCTGGTCTCCCTTTGTAGATCAGGCTGGCCTCAAACTCACAGTGATCCACCTGCCTCTGCCTCCCTGAGTGCTGGGATTAAGCATAAAAATTTTTAAGTCGGCTCTCCAATTTTGTTTTTGTTTTTCTCTTCCTGCCTTAACCTGCTAAATGGTAGCATATTAGGCCTGAGCCACCATGCTTGGCTCTGCAGGATTTTGCACCCACATTACACAATGCATACACATGTACCCTTCCCCTGAAACAATTAAGCATTTTCCCTCTATGCCAAAGAAATGAAGGGTCTTGCCCAAAGCTCATATGCTTTCCCACTGTTCTCCCAGACCCACATTTGTCTTTTTTTTTTTTAAGTTTATTTATTTATTCACTTTACATCCTAAACACAGCCCCCTCCTTCCTTTCCTCCTGGTCCCACCCTCCCACCCTTTCCCCACTTACCTCCTTCCCCTTCTTCCCAGGAGGGCGCCACTCATCAACCCACCCCAACACAACAGGACTGAGTCACATCAGGACTGAGCCCATCCTCTTCCACTGAGGCCACGCAAGGCATCCCAGCTAGAGGGAAGTGATTGAGAAGCATGCAACAGAGTCCATGTCAGAATCAGAAACAACCCCTGTTCCACTTGCTAGAGGACACACATGAAGATCAAGCTGCCCATCAGATATATATATATATATATATATATATATATATATATATATATATATA